ATATATATATATATATATATATATATATATATATATATATATATATATATAAAGTATAAATTGTATCTATAGAGTATCTATAATAATACAAATATAATGATAGTATATATATAATAATAATAATAATATATAAATAGTATATATAATAATAATATATAAATAGTATATATAATAATATAAATAGTATATATAATAATAATAATAATATATAAAGGGTATCTGTAATAATAAATATATATAAATAGTATCTATTATAATAATAATATAAAAATAGTATATATATAATAATAATAATAATAATTAGTAATATCTATAATAATAATATATAAATAGTATATATAAGAATAATATATAAATATAATAATATAATAATATATAAATATAATAATGTATAAATAGTATATATATAATAATATATAAATAGTATATATAGTAATAAATATATATAAATAGTATCTATAATAATAATAATATATAAAGATATTATATATAATAATAATAATTAGTATATATAATATATAAAGTGTATATATTATAAATAATATATAAATAGTATATATATAATAATAATATATAAATAAAAATGTATAAATAATAATATAAAAATAATAATATATAAATAATAATATAAAAATAATAATATATAAATAAAAATGTATAAATAGTAATTATAATAAAAATAAACTAGTATGGTTCTTTATTAGTATATCCTGGTGCCGACTAGTATATAATAATATAAAATAAAGAAAAAATAAAGAAAAATAATAAATATAAATATAAATAATAAATAACAATAATAAAAATAATAATAATAAATAATATTTATAATAAATAATAAAAAAAAGGAAATAAGAAGAAGGAGCTGAGGTGTATAGGCAGTTCAATGTTCCTAATAAAAATAATTTTTTATTTTTTATTTTTATTATTATTCATTTATTTATTATTTATTTATTATTTATTTTTATTTATTATTAATGTTTATAAATATAATTTTTATGTATTTATTATAATTATAAAAAAATAAAAAAAGTAACAAAGATAAAGCTCGGCGGTAGGTGCTGCGGTGTATGTACTGTGTGTAGAGATGATAGTATAAGTAAATAAAATAATAAATAAATAAAGAATAATAAGTTAATAATATTAATTAATAATAATATTATTATTTATAAATAATAATAAGTAATTTTAATAAGTAAATAGTAAAGAAGCATCAGATACAGCTGAGGTGTATAGGCAGCTACCGCTACTGCAGCTGCCTATACACCCCAACGCCTTTCTATCAGCAGCAGCACTTCTTTTATCTCTCTCTTTATTTCTCTCAACAAACTG